CGAAACAAGAAATAAAAGCGAGGTATATTGTGTTTACCTTTTCGTTCGCTTGATCCTTGCATGTCAAACTTATCGTCCATCGTGTTGTTTTGAGTTGATAGTAAAAAACCTTTTGGCCGATGAGAAGATGTCTTCGTTCGAGATCGTTGTATAGATCTACGAAAACCCGAGGCCTTTTTTTGAAAAACCAACTTGATTTCAAACGAGGAGAAGAAAAGCATTCGGAAAAGTAAAAAAATCTTTTGATTTTGCCGCCGATGAACGGCGGCCGTCGCCGTTCAACGGCGGCGGCGAGGCGGCGTAGGGCGGTCGGTTTCTGGATTCTTGAAGAATCCGGCCGTGTTCTTATTTTCTGAAGAACACTTGAGAGTGTTCTTCAGAGAGGGGAGGAGAGCTTTGATTGTGAGGAGAGAAATGAAACAAAAAAAAGATGTTTGAGTCATATATAAACCCGTTCCAGCTTATGCCCGACCGATGAACCTCGGACCCGCGTGTTTTTGCAAGAAGCGAGAGATTTGCGTTTGGTTCTCCAGTTTCAAAAACATTTAATTTGGTCCTCTGAATCGATTATTGAACCCGAAATCCTTGTAATTGACCCTTGAGTTATTTCGTTTCCAATTTAGTCCCTACTATTATTATATATATTTTCATTATTATTATTTTATCCTTTATTATATATATATATATTTATGTAAATATTTTATTTTATATACATATATATATACACATAATCATCGTTATTTTATTATTTTAAGTATATGATAGCGTATATAAACATATATATTTTTTTCTTTTATTATTATCTGTATATTTATTTTATTCATTTGTTTTATTTAATATATATTTATATATATTTCGTGTTTTTTAACATCATTATCGTTTTCATTTTATTCTAATTTATATTTTTTTATTTATTTTCATTATTCCTTTTTATTTTTATGTACCTATTTGATTATAGTTATTATTTATTTTAGTTTTTTAGTTTTTATTATTACTATTATATATATCTTTTTATTTTTCCATTGTTATATTTATTATTATTACCGTCATATATTATTTTTCCTCATCTTATTTGTTTTTCATTTTACCTTAGGTGTTTTATTTGCATTCCTTACCTAATATATGTCTTGATCTTTTAAGGGTACAATTTAAGCAATCTAAGGTAAGTAATTTGGATCGTCATTTTACATTTTAATTTACAACTTTCTTAATTAAAGACAACTGGAAATTACGTAGTACTGAAAGGGCGGTTCAAGGGTGCTAATCCTTCCTTGACCGTAACCGACTCCCGAGCCCGACATATTTCTGGTAAGACGCAGATCAGGTAAGAAATAGGGTATCCGATCAACCCATTTATTTTTAAATAAATAATCGGTGGCGACTCCAATCCATTTCCTAACTCGAAGCCCAATTCCGGGGCCCAACCGAAAGACGGTTACGACACTGATGGAGTAAAGAGGTATCGCTTATGGGATCCCACTGCCCGCAAAGTGATCATTAGCAGGGAAGACGATGATAGCGCTGAAAAGTCAGAGACTACTCAGATACATGTGGAAAATGAGGTTGAACAAGGAGATTCTTCTGAAGCAGAACCAACACATGATGAACAAAACCAGAGAGTTCTGAAGCTCCAACAACTCGTCAATCAGATCGTGTGAGAAGACGTCCCAATTGGCACTCAGATTATGTTATAGAAGGAAATATTGCATATTGCCTTTTAACAGATGACGGTGAGCCATCAACATACCAGGAGGCAATAAACAGCTCAGATGCTTCACTGTGGATGATGGCGGTGCAAGAAGAAATCGAATCCCTTCCTAAAATAATACATGGGATATTGTGCACTACCACTAGGAAGAAGCCAATTGGTAACAAATGGGTCTTCAAATCAAACGAAATGGTGACGATCAAGTTGAGAGGTATCGTGCAAGACTAGTGGTAAAGGGATATGCTCAAAAAATAAGGTATTGATTTCAATGAAATCTTTTCTCCTGTGGTTCGACTAACAACAGTTCGAGTAGCTGGAATTGTTGATTTTTCAACAATGGTAGAATCATATTTTAACCATTGTAATTTAGGGTATTTACAAATTAGTCCTTAAGTTTCAACTATAAATACCCTATCATTTAGCTTCAAAACCATCCCAAAATATTCTAGCTTTCTTCCAATACTAGAGAGAATTTAGGGATTCTAGTTTTCTCCTTTTTATAGAGAGAATTATCATTGTTTTCTCTTTTATCGAGAGAATTATCATTCTTTTCTCTTCTTCTACCGTTGTCCGTGGTTTTTACCCTATATTATTTAGGGGTTTCCACGTAAATTTTGTGTCTCTTTTATCTTCAAATTTTATTTTCTCAATTATTGTTGCGATTTTGCTCTATCCGATACCGTCTTCCGCAACACTAATCCATAATATCAATCATAACAAAGGAGACGAAGAAAAGTTAAACAAAAACAAACCGTGACTTCAATAGGGACCCTAGTATCCACCCGATGCTGATAATAAAGATCAATACAATCAACACCAACACGTTTCAAGCTACCTTCACAAGCTGCCCTCACATAAGCAGGGTCACCCCGGATTTCCCTTTTCTCTTCAGTATAATCTATACCGAACTCAGTTGCCAGGTCGATCTTGTTTCTAACACCATCTTTGAGTGCCTTTCCGACAAGGATTTCATTGGTACGGGGACCATAAACATTGGAGTATCAAGAAAGGTAACCCCAGAGTTTAGTGCGTGGTGGATGAGAGATTCATGTCGGTTCTGGCTTTGGTGGACCGTAGAAAGCAGACATCCCCATGCATCCAAGGCCCATACCGACACTTGGAGGCCTTGAGAACCCAACTTGATCCTCCCAACTTGCATTTTTGCTTGAGCTGTGAAGCTGATACAGAGTTTGGTGGAGATGTGTGGGTGTTGGGAAGTCGTCGGATGGGCCTTCAAGATTAAAAATAACTATAATTAAATCCTTAGATTTATTTTGGCTTAATTAGAAAATAAGTGCTAACGTAACATCCATTCATCCATCCAACATTATAAATTATCATTTTAAGTATCTCGATTATGATTATTGTAAATAAAATTTTATTAAGTCACATATTACGCTCTGACAATTTAAAAAACATTTTTAAATAATAATAATAATAATAATAATATATTTAAAAAAATCTTATCTTCTCTTAAATTACAAAAAAAACTCAAGTCCCTAAAAATTTTAAGTTCTTAATCTTAACTCACCGATGTTGTCCTTACCGATCACGATTACTGCCGTCAACGTTGTACTTACCATCTTCCTAGTTCACCATCTAGGGTCATCCTACGTCGTTGTGATACCACCTACCATAGTCCCTGAATAAAGATTTAAAATTTCCCAGTGTGCATCGAAACCCTTGGTGGTTATTACGCCCAGAATTCATCCTTCAATGCTCTAATTCTATCAAAAGTCAATTACTTCTTACCATTGTGATTATGCCCTAATTATCCTCCAATTCTCTAATTCCATCAAAAGACATTGCTTCTACCATTGTTGGTTATTACGTCCAGAGCTTTCCAAGACTTATAAGTAACAAGGGATTATAATATAGTAAGTTAGGGATCTAAAAATTAGGATTTATAAGTCTAGAGATTTAGGGTTTTAGGCGATCGGGATAATGACGAGAGTAATGATCGACAGAAGAGATTTGTCAATACGTGGGTAGGCAGTGACGATTGGGATAGTTGGCGATGGCCGACTAATGAGGTTGATACTTTGATTAAGGATTTTAGGATATTTTTGAGGTTTTAGGGAAAATTTGAGAATATTTTGAAAAGTAATAATATTTTTAATTTTTTAAAAAATTAAAAATTTCAAAATTATATGAGTGTGATACATGTGACTTAATAGAATATTTTAGCAGTTGTTACGACTAAGACATCTAAAGTGGAAATGTTTGTAACGTTAGACACTTTGATGAATCGAAAAAAGTTTAAACACATATTTGAGAAGAGCGGTATATAATTTTTGTACTCTCTAATTGAGTCGTTTCTTTTTTTTAAAAAAAAAGCTTAATGTAGAAATAAGTGATCAAGTTATACAATAAATTAATTTTAAGTGCTTAATTTTATTTTTACTTAAGATAAGTATCTAATGTTTTTAATATGTAATTGTCTTCACCATAACGATTTAAAAATCAAAATTTTTAAAATCATAAAAAATTCCAAAACCTTTAGATTCTCAATTTTAAAATCATAGGTCATAGTGATCATTCGCATATCATCATTTACCCATTAACTAACCCTTATTTTTGCCATCACCCTAAATAATTAAATCCTAAACTCTAAGTTCTTAAAAAATTCAATGCATGAAATGGGGAGGTATTTTGCCTCACGCGACTACCATAAACGAAAAGGTTTTGCTGTGTTGATGAAAGTGCTTGTGCGAATGAATATTGTGGGATTACTTTACTGGGATTTGCAATAGGGCATGAACGACGGGGTTAATAAATTTAATTACTTTGCTGAGATTTGCAACATAAAATATGGTGGGGAAATTACTGTAATTTGGATTCGTAAGAACAATAGTTGTAGTGGAAAGGATATTAGTAACGAGTTCCGTTAAAGGGGTGAATGTTCATCAACAGTGGTGGTAATCATCGACGATAACAGTAATGTATTTTAAATTAGGGATTTAAAGATTTTTGTGAAACATAAGAAAATTTATAAATTTTATTTTTAAAATATTAAAATAAATTAAAAATTATATTATTGATAGTTGTTTTTTTATTATAGATTTTAACGATCGTTAGTGTATGCACTTAAAAGTGTAATAAAAGAAACGTGAATCCCGAAATCCAAATAAGTATGAAATATCTTTCTTCACTATTTTTAATTCGAGAAATACATTACAATAATCAATCTACTCATCTGGGTTGAGCATTCCACGTGGCGCTTACTTCAATTCATCTCCCCACAAATCCCAATCATGGATCAGTGAATTGTTGATAAAGAAAATCAGTAAGTCTAAGACATCTGCCTATGCAAACATCTCAAAGGAAGAAAACCAACGAAAACGATGAATTCTGTTCTCTACGTTCACTCTACTTCCAATTCCCAGCTCGGAAGCAGCTCAGATCCATCCCCAACACCGCTATTTTCATCCCCGCCGTTTATTTTCCGTTACCTTTTCCGCGGGGAATCAACCGCCACCGTAAACTCTCTCATCGTCTCGTTTTCGCCGTTTCCTCTACTTCCACTAGGTACCCTTTTCTCCTTTTTCCTTCATATTTCACAATTTCCATTGTCAAGGCTAAATAAATGTCTGGGGATGATTTTTTTTATGATAAAAAAAAATCTGATCAGGCGCTCGTTCATTTCTTCTTTTTCATCTGCTTTGATTTGAAATGCTCTGAAAATGAAATTAAATGCAGTGGCTATTTATGTTTTAGTATTTATGTGATGTCTCTGTGTGTGTGGAGTTTAAAAGCTCGATGAGCTTGTATGTATGCTTGTCCTGGCTTTATTTAATTATAAATAACATTTTCTGATGAGAAATGTCTGAAAGTAAAATGGCTATTTCATCTTTACTTTTATTAGGATTGCGAAAAGCTAATGGCATCGCGTTCTTTTCTTGATTGATTGTATGAAATGCTATCTAATTCCCTTAAGAAAGGAGATTACCAAAATGAGTTTTATTTTTCCGGATCAGAGAAGAAGAAACGAAGAAGAAGTTGAAAGTGAAATCAAAGTCTGGACGTGGCAAAGTAGGGATTAACGTTTGTTTAGATCACCAAGTTAAATTTGGAGAGCATGTAGTGATTTTGGGGTCCACAAAAGAATTGGGATACTGGAAGAAGCAGGTGCCTATGAACTGGTCTGAGGGTGGATGGATATGCGATTTGGAGTTGGAAGGGGGTCAGTCTGTTGAGTTCAAATTTGTGGTTGTTGGTAAGGACAAGAAGGTTGTGTGGGAAGATGGAAATAACCGTTTTCTAAAACTGCCTCAGGGAGGGAGTTTTGGGATGGTATGTCACTGGAATTCGACAGAGGAGACACTGGAACTATTGCCTTTAACTTCAGAAGATTATGGAGTCGAGATGGTGGATAATGATGGTCTTAGTGAATCTACTACTGATGCCTTGGAAGTCGAAACAAGTCCTTTTGTTGGACAATGGCAAGGGAGGGATGCTTCCTTCATGCGATCAAATGAACATCACAACAGAGAATTGGAGAGAAGATGGGATACAACTGGTCTAGAAGGGTTGGCTTTGAAATTGGTTGAAGGTGATAAAAATGCAAGGAATTGGTGGAGAAAGGTACTAATAGTTATTATATTGATTGCGAAATTCATATCTATAGAGAACTTTCTAGAAATGTCGTAATCAATATATATATATATATACACTTGAATTTGAAATTTACTTCACATATGGTATAATTTTATGATTTTTTTAGCATTATGGGTGTAGCTTGATAGTATTAATACATTCAGTTGAATAATAATTTCATCGATCCTTTATATTACTGAAACCCTTTTTCATGAGCTCTGGGTATGAAGTTCCATGCAATCTATCTACCTGTTCACATGCTTTCCGTTAATAGTACATGCAGTTGTATTCGTACATCAGTGGTTGATGATATCATGCCTCAAGCTAGGCCAGTGGAAGTTGTGCTGGTGTGATTATATTTTGGCAATACAGAACTGCAAAACCATGAATTATGATTTTCTTTAGATGAACAGATAACAAAATGATAGTTTTAAATGTATTTAAATACAATTTCAAATTGAAGAAGTAAGAAATCACTTATAGAATTCTTTCCTATTTCTATGCACAAGTTTTTTATATTATCCTTTTTACTTTGGGGCATTGGTGTGGTGGCAGTTGGATGCATGGGTGCTTGCACATAGGCAGTTGGAAAGATGATAATGAAATATGTGTCTTGTCTTCCATGGCCTGTCTTCTGAAAAAAGAAGCTTATTTATGCAGATCTTGTCCATGTACTATTTTAGATCATGACTTAGCTTGTAAACTTCTATCTTTGTAGGCGGTATTCATGGTTTTGATTTATATTTTCTTCTTTGGCCATTGATAGTTCTCTTTTTTCTTTTGTTAAAGCTTGAAGTGGTTCGTGAGCTATTAGTTGGAAGTTTGCAGAATGGGGAACGGTTGGAGGCTCTAATATGCTCTGCTATTTATCTGAAGGTCTTTTACATATATTTTGTTACAGCTTGTTTTGTTGTTCATCTTCCATGCTGCTCTTAAATCTTTTTTATGCAGTGGATAAACATGGGGCAGATTCCTTGTTTTGAAGATGGGGGTCATCACCGACCAAACAGACACGCTGAGATTTCCAGGCTTATATTTCGAGAATTAGAACGAATCTCTAGTAGGAAAGATTCTTCACCTCAGGTGCTCAATTGCTGCAGATGGCTGTATTGATTCATGCTTATCAAAATTTATTTTTTATTCAATTGCTTATGTGCAGAATGGGATTGCTTGATGGCATCTATCCTACTCTAGTTCTTCTCAACAGCATTAGTAAAAAAAGACGTAGCTTTTTCTAGAGCTTGGGGTCAATTACATGGATTCTGTTTCACCCAATTTAAACTATATTCCGAACGAGATTAGTGCAAGAGCACATTCTAGCATAGTTTATACATTTCTTTTCATGTCATAGAATTGATATCATGATTTCCCATTGCTTATATTTCCCTAATTCTCTTGCTTGATAAATTTATATTAACTTGTAGTTTATAGCTTATCCATCCTTTTTGCATGGTCTAAAGACTTTTGTTTGTAATCATATTCGAGAGTCTAGATAATAAAATTGGCATTTAGCATAGGATGGTAGAAATTGATGTGTTTTATTTGTACTTTATGCTTATTATATAGTGAATGATCATAAGACTTTAGCAAATGAGAGTTAAGTCCATTATGTGTGGTAGTTGAATGCATAGCTATGGCCAAGTCTATGTGTGCTAACATTTTGGGTGTATCAACTCTTCAATGAAGTAGGAAGTAAGGTTTCTATACCTGCAAAGCTATGTCATGATAATCAAGTTGCGCTTCATCTTGCTTCTAATCCAATCTTTCATGAAAAACGAAACACATAGAGGTTGATTGTCATTTCGTTCGCGAAAAGATCCAACAAAGTTTGATTATTACTGGCTATGTGAAAATTGGTGAATTTGTTAGAGTGGTTGCCTCTTTTTCTATTAGGACCATCGCCCTGTTTTGATCAATGCAGTTATGGTGCACTCTTTTTCCTCCATTTAATGTAGGGAGGTTTTTTAACGAGGCCCATGATTGCGTTCTGTTGTTATGTAACTGCTAAGTTCATAAAAATCATCCTTTCAAAAAAAAGTTTGATATGATTAATATCTTAGGAGTGTTACATTACCTATAACAGGAGCTTGATACTTGTATATATACCCATACTGTGGATAAATAAAATACACAACACTAGAAAGAATTCTGTTTCTGATATTCTACACATCCAAATTCCACAGATGATCCATACAAATGATTCCTTGTTCACTTTATTGGTAAACGATATGTTCTGTTCACAAAGAACTTAAGGTACATTAGATGCTGACACCTGTGTCAGTGGACAACTAGTAGCTTTAAAAACATTATGTCTAAGTTAATGTCATCTAACGAATAAAGAATGTATGCATTGCTTTTATAATTGTAGTCCTTCAAATTTTTTCTCATCACCAATAACGTGGTCTTAAATTTTATTGGACTAAAGAGCTGGTGTAATTGAAGCCTACATTATTTTGAAAGTTCAAATCATTGGCATCTTATGTTGATTCTCAATCAAAATGGGATTTTGGGAGGGGTGCGTGGATGTGTACCTTGTAGGGTTTTAAATTAATGATTGCTCTTAGTTTCTTAAATAAGTGAGTTTGCACATCTTTGTGAGAGTATCTATACATCTGTTCCACGATTAGCATAATTTTCAACTTAGTCCTCTCTTGATTTTTGTATGTTTCTTAAAGCTTTTTATCTTTAGGAAATTAGGAAATATAAGTATGCTAGATGCTGCAAGCACCAAATATTGAGGAAAAGGACAAACAAGACTAATCTCATGCACTTTAAAGGCCAATATTTGATTCTTCTATCTTATCAAAAAAAAAAATATTTGATTCTTCTATGATTTATGCATATTACTCTATAATGTTATCCTTAATTTTCTCGGTTACCTTTTTCTTCCCAAATTGTAGGAACTGCTTGTTATTCGCAAGATCCATCCTTGTTTGCCATCTTTTAAAGCAGAATTTACATCATCTGTCCCACTTACTCGGATTAGAGATATTGCTCATCGGAATGATATTCCTCATGATCTCAAGGTCAGGTTTCAGAAACACCTGGAATTTCTTCTTTTCAAATTATTTACTAATATTTAATTTACATATTCCAGCAAGAAATTAAGCATACAATACAGAACAAGCTTCATCGAAATGCTGGCCCGGAAGACTTAGTTGCGACAGAAGCAATGCTTGCAAGAATCACCAAGGATCCTGGACATTATAGTGAAGCATTTGTGGGACAATTCAAGATATTCCATCAGGAACTCAAAGATTTTTTCAATGCTGGAAGGTTCAATTTGAAAGATTAGTTTTTCTTGCTTTTACTTTTCCTTCGTGGGTTAGAGGTGAATGGAAAATTCTCATTGAAGATAGTATCAAGCAACATTACAGTAGCATAATGTTCTCTATGATACACACTAATACAATAAATTGAATTTTGCTCTCTTAGTATAGTTTTTAAAAATTCTAATGATCCACACGAACCAAGTTACCTCAATGGTTAAAGGAATGGTTATTTTTCCTTGAGGTCCTAGGTTCGAGCACCGGAGACTACAAGGTATTTGAGCGGTCATTGTCAAATGGTTGAGAGTCTTTAGAACATATATAAAAAGACTTTGATTACTTCTATAATTTCTGAATTTAGCTCCCACTCTATTATTTATTATGCAAATTTCCTACTTGTTTTCATAAGTTATACATAAATGTAGCCTGGCCTTTTGAACTTTTTGTATGATGTGTGCAAACTGATTTCACTTTCCACTTCGTAGAGTGGTCAAATTCTTTCTTTGATGCACCTATCTAAGATTTTTGTTATTGCAGCCTCACTGAACAACTTGAGTCAATAAGAGAATCATTAGATGAACGAGGCAATTTAGCTCTTGTAATGTTTCTGGAGTGCAAAAAGGTATATTTGTGATTGTTTGCTCATGTTTTTCTTTTATTGCTATGATTTTGTAGTTAAGAGTTTTTATGTAGTGGTAACTGGAATTTGACATAAAGTTCATCCGTGAATAAAAAACATGCATTCAGTTTCTGGCTTCCTTCATGCCAAGAAACACCTGCATTACAGTTGCCTGCTTCATCCATGTCAAGAAAACTGTTTTATCTTTAGTTTGGTTATTTCAGAGGCACATTATTGTGCCATATATGAGTAAATTATTTCTTGATTCATGAAAATCTTCATGCTTAAGTGAATAATGTGCAAGATTTTATGTTCTTGTAAGTTTTAGCATCATCAAAAAATGCTAAGGCATTTTGGTTATGCTCCTCTGATAAAGAGGTCTCGGTGGGTGGTAGAACGATCTATGATGGTAGCCTTAATGTCTATTCTGGAAGTTCGGTTTTCTTAGCTGTTGGTTTAAACATTCTAAATGCATGAGTTGGGAGAAAAATATATTATTGTGATGATGTCCAATCAAAGCTCATTAAAAGAATCTTCTTTCATATGATGGCATCCTTTGTTGCGGCCTTGTTGAAAATTTCTAGCAAAGTTTACAAGCAAGTATAATTAGGAAGAGATCTGGCATACTTTTTCTGTAAATATTGCAAAAACTTAAAGAAAACGTATTTCCAGTGTATCTTATAATTAATTATACTGGGAATTCCAGAAAAAGAAAATTTGATTCATATTCATGAAGATTCAGTAATGTTTTATTGTTCTTACCTTTTGCTTTAAACTGCCCTTTATCTGGACTTGAGGTTCTTTAAAGAAACCCTTGAAGGGGAAGGATGGAAACAAAGAAAACATGTGAGGAAATTATCACAAGAGACTTCCTTCTATGATTTTTCTCCAGAATAATTCTAAATAGAACATGACAGCAGATTCTGATCCATGCAGTCAGTTCCATTTAGCTGGAAAAAGCTTGCCATACAACTGAAAATTTTGAAGTTAGTAGAAAAGTTCATAGTATAAAAAAGCTTTCTTCTAATTATTTATTTTTATACAATGAATTTTTGTTCCATTCCCGTGATTTCTCTAATTGGCATTTATATATTTCCAGAGTTTGGATGCTGCAGAAGGATCAAGTAGCGTTTTAGATTTAATCAAGACAGTGTGGTCTTTGAGTTCTCTAAGAGGACTAATTGTGAAGGGTCTTGAAAGTGGTCTAAGGAATGATGCTCCTGATGCTGCAATAGCAATGCGTCAAAAGGTCAGTCCTTTTTTTTTTCATAAATTTTTTAACAAGCTTCTAATAAACAGAAATTTGGCTTGAGATTCTCTCTTCTGTGCAACTATCAGTGGCGACTATGTGAGATTGGCCTTGAGGACTATTCCTTTGTCCTCTTAAGCAGGTACATATCTAAACTTTGGGCTGCTTTTGATACTTATTGTGCTTGAACTTGGAAAGGCAGACAGCTCTTTAGGAATATCCAGATATTTATCGAATTAGTCATGTGATAATTAGTTTAAATGAACCATCATCGCTTACTGGAAAATTGTATTTACAAGGCCATAAATCAATCAAAATACGGATCTTATTCATGCAGAGAACAAAGTGGTCTGGAAAAATCAACATTAATTTCCAAGAAGATTTTTTGTATGGGCATTGTTTGATATGGCTTTAGGGTGTCATTCTGAGTCCTGTATCTTTTTTCTTCTTTCTTATCTGTTAATTTACAACATTATTTTCTATTCTCTCCGGTAGAACTAACCCTAGCCCTAATCCTACCATTCAGCCATCAACAGTAAAGCCTAAAACACTTAATTTGTTGTTCAAATGTACCTTCAAGAACCAAAACAGCGACTGGATAGCATTTAAATTATTCATTTCTTCATACAATTCTGAGCCATAGCTTTGCTTGCTAATTATAAACCCTAATTTTTTCTTTTAGCACCCTCTTTGTTTTACCCTCCAATTGCCAAAATCCCAACCAATCTATCATTCTACTTACCCAATTCTTGTCAATTTGAGGTAGTGCCTCTTGATGACCTTTGTCACTTATCTACATTATTTTCCTTGAAGAATTTGTAGTAGACATCCACATTTGATATCAAGAATTCATATTAGTTGGATGGAGGGATGTCATATTAATGTATTCTGACAATCTTAGGGGAAATAAACTGAAGCTAGAAGAAACTATTTCATGTTTTTTATAGGATTGGTTGGGGTAGTTAAACCTAGTTTCTAGCCTCAGACCTGAAAGCTATTCTGTTGCTTATTTTCTAGGACATAATAGATATTGTCTGCTTCATATTCATTCAATAAAATCTGTAATACCATGCATGCAAAAAGCTAGACATATGCTCAACCTCACAACCAAACCTGTAAACAGTGGCTTCTTTATAAAAGGTAATTAGGGTACAATATGTTATTCAAGATTAATGAGGAATGAGAATCGTTGTACTTTCTGGTTTCCCATGCATCTATTTAGACTTGTGAGCAGTATGTGTGAATATTCTAAGAAGAAAGGAAGGGACATTCAAAAAGAAAGAAAGAGAGATTTCAAATGAAAATAGAGGGGACATTCTCTTTTGTATTACTTCAAAAATAAAAGGCTTAAGAGTCACCTTTGCCCCTGTAGTAGACTCAATTTATCATTTTCGTCTCTATCGTATTTTTGCATCAATTTAGCTCTCAATGTTGTCTAATTGCATCATTCTATACCCTACCCTTAACTTAAAACCCTAAATCATAAACTTTTAGGGTTTATGGTTTATGGTTTAGAGGTTATGGGGTTATGGTTTAGGGTTCAAGATTTATAATTTAGGGTTTTAAGTTAGGGGTAGGTATAGAATGATGCAATTGAGCAACTCTGAGGGCTAAATTGATGCGAAAATACGATAGGGGAAAAATGATAAATTGGGTCTGCTACAGGCCTTTTGCCCAAAATAAAAGAATCGAACTGCTTTTATAGGCTAAGAGTTACAAATGTAGAATTTAACTAGATATCTTTTTTAACCTTTATCTCTTAAGAAAACTTATCTTATTTTTTAAACAGATAAACCTAATCCTAAATAAATTAGAACTCGGAATTTAGGATGAACAAATACTTCTTTTCTACCAGTTTAATTCATGACTGCTTTCCACCCTCCCCTCAAGCTGAGTGTATACGTTGTACAAACCCAGCTTGGACTTGAGTTCATCAAAGCTCGTTCTTGGAAGGCTTTGGTAAGAATATTCGCATGTTTCTGTTGAGTGGTCCTCCTATTCAAGCTGAATTGAAGGCCATTCAAACTGGTTTAGATTTGTTTGTGGAATTAGAATGGTGTGGGAAAGGTCAATTAGTCATAGAGACGGATTCAGAAGTTGTAGTCAAATGGATTAAGACTCCTGAAGCATGTCCTAATGTGTTCTTATAGCTGGTCGAGGAAATTGTTAGTGTTGTAATGGAATATAGGGTTATTATAAGATCAGTTAAAAGGGTTGTAAATTAGGAGGCTGACGGTTTGGCTAAATCGGGTATAGGGTAATTGTTTAGTAAGTTTTTGGTTGGGTTGTGTGTTTGTAGGGTGGGTTGCGATTAAGAAGTTGGGTGGTGTTTTGTAATATGTCTGTTGATGTATGAGGTGTAATTTATTTATGGAATAAAATTAATAGGCACTCTTTTCCTCCTTCCAATGTCCGCCGAGGTACTTATGTACAACGACGGGTATGAAGGGGGTTTTTAACGAGGCCTAGTTTCTTATCAAAAAAAAAAAAAAGTAGGAATATCGTTTAGTTTCACAGTTTCATTGTTGACTTTTTCTGAAATAAAGTGTCAGTCAATCTTCAAATGTTTTGGCTGATCACGATGTAGAGGATTTTTAGCAATGCTTATGGATGATTGATTATCACTTTGTATCTTGAAGTCATCCTTTAAATAAAAGAATCAGCCTGCTTTTATAGGCTAAGAATTAAAAAAAGTAGAATTCAACTAGATATATTTTTCTTAACCAGATATCCTAGGAAAACTCATCTTATCTTTTAACCAGATAAACCTAATCCTAAGTAAATTAGAACGCAGAATTTAGGATTAACAAAAGCTTCTTTTCTACTCGTTTAAATCATGACAGCTTTTCACAATATGTTTTAGCTTTAGTTTTATGCTCTTTTTCTTTCCATTTTTCTCTTTCATGCATTACTGACTGGCATTGAACTAGGTTACTCAACATGCTTGAAGCTAAGGGAGGAGCCAATTGGTTTGCAGATAATATAGAAGAAAAGAATATAAGCTCTTGGAATGATCCACTTGGTGTCTTAATTGTTGGTGTTAATCAGCTTAGTTTATCCCGTTGGAAACCAGAAGAATGTGCTGCTATTGAAAATGAGCTTACCGCCTGGCAAGAGAAAGGTCTCTTTGAGAAGGAAGGTAGCTCTCTTGTCCTTTTTTCTCTTGAATCTGGAAACGTTTTGCTAGGTTAGTAGAATAGCTCTACATACATTGGATTATTTATTTTCTTGGCGCCTTTTGTTTATTATAAAGGAAGCGAAGATGGAAAAAGAATCTGGGCATTAAGACTCAAAGCTACACTTGACAGAACAAGGAGGCTTACGGAGGAATATTCTGAAGTCCTCCTGCAATTATTCCCTCAAAAAGTTCAGGTAAAGAAATATTATTGTGAAAAGCAAAGTTTTGTACTATATGATGAAACTTTTATGTAGATACCTGAGATTGATATAAGCTTAGCAAAAATGTTTTCTATGGAACCAAATGTTTAAATTATTTTAGTGGTTAATGAACTGTTTATACCATAACCTTTAGTGGTTATATCTGATAAACTCTGGATGGATATGCAATTTTCAATGTATAGATCAATTTCTTCCCGAATGTTCCAACCTCCACTGGTGCAGCTTCATATTATCTGTAATTAATTTAAGGTTTATAGATGAAGTAACTGGAATCCTGATATATTTTTTTTCAAATCTTGAAGATGCTTGGGAAAGCTCTTGGAATTCCAGAGAACAGTGTAAGGACATACGCTGAAGCTGAGATTCGGGCCGGGTATGGTGACATTTATCTTTCTGATGGATCCATGAATGCTATAATCTTTATGTTTGTGATTTTTCTATTTAAATTGTATGAAAGAATTCATGTTACTCGTGCATAATTTACTGTTTTCTGTTTTCCTAACTGGAAAACTTCGTTTTTGTAGGGTGATCTTTCAGGTTTCAAAACTTTGTTCGCTTCTTTTGAAAGCTGTTAGAACAGCACTTGGTTTTGAAGGGTGGGATGTCCTTGTTCCAGGAGTGGTGTCTGGAACATTGGTTCAGGTACCTCAATCACTTTAATGTGACTTCATCTCAGCACAACAATATCATTTACAGTTTTTCTCTCTCATTCCGTTCCTTCTGAATCCATAAGCACACCATCATGTCAACAAGGCAGCACACTACATTAGGAAGAAAGTCCTAGTTATTCTTTTTGTTGAAAATTAGTTTGGGTAATGGTACATGCAGATCATTGTCCTAATTGCAACTATCCCTGTTATAGACGCACTAAAATGTTTTAACTTCTATCTGAAAATTCTTAGTTGGATTTAAAACTTTTCTATCTAATCTCGAAACTAGAGAAGTATTATGTGGTAATGACTAGACTTGGTATGATTATTTAGTTCATGGATTTAGAACTTAAAAGTATATAAATAATTCAAAATTCCATGATTTTGAAAATTCTTTTTTGATGAGTGTTACCCAAATGGAATATTTTACTTTATCCCACTAGATTTTGTCAAAAGTCTCCCCCAGAAAATTCAAAAGAACAACTGGCACAGCCTGCACGCGACCAAAAATATAAGGATCAAATGCATGTTACTAACATGTCTTGCACCAAACTCAAGTTGTAGGAATATGATGTTTTCATCATCTGATAATGTGATATGAAATGTAGTTTTTCCAATAAATAAATGTGAAATTGTGCCCTTTTAATTACTTGTATACCTCGCAAATTTCTGAGTTTGTATGATGTAAAATTAGTGTTGCTTCAGGTTGAGAACATTGTACCGGGATCACTGCCTTCATCTTTAGAAGGACCTGTTATCCTTGTGGTTAATAAAGCTGATGGAGATGAGGAGGTTTGTGATGGTTTTTAATTAGCTATTTGGTTTAAGTGTTGAATGTAATTTTCCATTTTCTCGTATCCTAGCAAAATGGTCATGTAATCTAATTTTTGTGCTGCAGGTGACAGCAGCTGGATCTAATATCGCAGGAGTTGTACTTTTGCAGGAGCTGCCTCACTTATCTCATCTTGGTGTTAGGGCCCGACAAGCAAGTTCTTTCCTCTTATGATATTAATTTTATGGGTAAAGTACACAAAAGATCATTAGACTATGTTGAAATGATCATTTTGGTCACTATGATATTTCAGAAATTACAAAATGGTCATTAAGCTTCTCAAACGGTTGCAAAATGGTCATTTAACTTTATCAAAATACTACAAAATGGTTATTAATTTATTGAACTGTTACAAAATGATCCTTAAACTTATCGAAATTTATCACTATTTTATAACATGAAGTGACCAATTTGTAACTTCCAAAATTCAGTGACCAAAAAGATCATTTTGGTATATTTAAGTGACCATTTGTGTACTACCCTAATTTTATTATAGATTTTGTAATAGGATTATTTATTAGTCGGTGACATACTGCTAAAAGTAAAGTTTTTGTACAGGAGAAGGTTGTTTTCGTTACATGTGAAGATGAAGAAAAAATTTCCTATATACAAAAGCTCCAAGGAAAATGTGTGAGGTTGTTTCCGAATTTTTTTTATCATCAATCAAATATTGAGAGTTAGCTCTGTATACTATTCAATCTGATACTTGAATGGTTTTTTTGGCTTTGTGATTTTTTTTTTTTGGAACTCCTGAAGACTGGATGCATCTTCAAGTGGCGTGAACATAAATCTGTGTCCATTAGATGACCATGATGCTGGTTTTGTTTCCAAAAATCTTTCAACTAATGGTTCATCTGCTGTTAAAGTGCGTGAACCTCATTATTCATCTGCATTGCCCGTTAAAGCCCCTTACTCCAATCAGGCAAGTTTTGCTCTCTTATCTTAAATTACAGGAAGCCAGCAATCTCACTGTTATTTGTTATGCTATTTGACAAACTGATTTATTTTTCTTTTTCATACAGGGTAATTCTTCTGCAGGAATTATACTGCTTGCTGATGCAAATGCACAAACTTCAGGGGCAAAGGCAGCAGCCTGTGGTCGCTTAGCTTCCTTGGCAGCAGTTTCTGATAAGGGTAACATTTTTGTTCTTGGCACCTAACTTTGGATTCTTTGATCATAAGAAGTATTATATATGAATAATGTTAAACAAAATACTTGATGGGAGAGCTTTTCCATCCTTGTGGTCCAACCCTGCTCAATAGGATTAGTGTCTGCTTAGACTGTTAAACGGATAGGCGAGGAACACTCATGGTTCATACGGAAAAACAAAATATTTTTCTTATGGCAAATAATTGAGGCTAATGAAGTCCTATACAAAATCAAAGATATATTTTGTTTAATATTCCACCTTTTTTTTTAATAAATTCTTTGGTTATTAGTTTTATGGAGCATAATCTTCTGTGTCATAAATTGTACATTTAAATGGCAGTCTACAGTGACCTAGGGGTGCCTGCTTCATTTCGTGTTCCTGCTGGAGTAGTTATACCATTTGGCTCCATGGAATGGGCTTTAGAACAAAATAAATCCATGGAAGCATTCTTGTCTCTTCGAGAAAAGATTGAAACAGCAGGTTTGGAAGGTGGTGAGCTCGACAAATTATGCCACCAACTCCAGCAGCTGGTCTCTTCCCTACAGCCCCCACAAGACATAATTGATAACATACTTCGAGAGTTTCCAGGCAATGCACGCCTAATTGTTCGGTCAAGTGCAAATGTTGAGGATTTGGCAGGGATGTCAGCTGCTGGACTTTATGAATCAATCCCAAATGTCAGTCCTTCAAATCCAACTGTTTTTGCCAGTGCTGTTAGCCAAGTATGGGCCTCACTCTATACTCGAAGAGCGGTACTAAGTCGCCGAGCTGCTAGTGTGTCCCAGAAAGATGCAACAATGGCAATCCTGGTTCAAGAAATGCTTTCGCCTGATTATTCATTTGTGCTTCATACGCTCAGCCCAACGGATTGTGACCATAACCATGTTGAGGCTGAGATTGCACCAGGGCTTGGTGAAACCCTTGCATCTGGAACTAGGGGCACACCCTGGCGTGTATCTTCCGGGAAGTTTGATGGGACCGTGAAAACACTGGCATTTGCAAATTTCAGCGAGGAGATGGTGGTATCAGGTGCAGGTCCTGCTGATGGGGAAGTAATCCATTTGACAGTAGACTACAGTAAAAAACCGTTGACTGTTGATCCGATATTCCGTCAACAGCTTAGCCAGCGTCTGTGCACAGTTGGATTTTTCCTGGAGCGGAAGTTTGGGTGCCCACAGGATGTGGAAGGATGTGTTCTTGGGAAAGATATTTATATAGTCCAGACGCGGCCCCAACCCCTGTAACCCATCAAGTATGCAATCTTTCATCCACAGGAAACTAAGCATTTCTTACAGTTTTTTCAAGTTTTGTATGCCCTACATATCCAGTATAGATGCAATTTAAGCTACCTATATTTGCATAACTGGTATAAATTGTGGGATTAACAGCTTTGGATTTGTGACTCCTGTTTAAAATAAAATTTGGGAGCGTTATATTTTGTAGAAATAAAACTAGAAGATCCCATTCTCATCTTTTGTATTGCGGATAAATGTTTTGTTCAAGGATAAGTGCATGTATGTCCCCTACTTGAAGACGTGTATAAATGTTTTGTTCGAGAATAAGTGCATGTATGTCCCCTACTTGAAGACGTGTATAAATGTTTTGTTCAATAATAATTGCATAGATTCGTTTTGTTGGAATTTGAATATAATCAAACCAGCCATATCATCTCGGACAGTCTTCACTAAAGCTTCCGGTGGATTACTGAAGTTGCCAAGAAATGGAAATGACATTTATCATTTTGAGACCCAACTGTCATCGCTAGGCATTGATCCAATCTTTGGGATAAATATTGGGCCCAAATATTTTTTTAAATACAAAAACATAACTCTCTGATGTCTTTTTGTTCATAATAAAGAATTAAAAAGAAAAGAAAAAAATCAATGGCAACACTCATTTCCTACTTGGGCTGCAGCTTAGGTGGTCCCAATGCTCGAATTTGGGTATATATATTTTATCTACGGTACTTTCTACATATACAGAGAGAGATTAAACCAAAAATCATTCAACCTATATATATATACATCAATCTCACTCTATATGCACAATAGAGGTTGAAAGTCATGGATAATCCAACAACGCAAACTTTACTTGCAAGCTAATCTTACCACCCTCATTCACTAGCTTGGCTGCAGTTACCAACCAATGTCCCGGTGCATCATGTGGACCGCGCACTACCTCCGATATGTCAACATATCGTAGCAGTTTATGGAGCGAATTGGTATGGGTGGACCATCAGATATACACCTGAATTAAGTGCAGTTGGAGCCTGCTTTTGTTGTCCGGTGACCGTCTGTTGAGTAAAAGAAAAAGCCGTGCTAAGATTTGTGAGGAAATTGGCCTTACGAGAATTTTCCGGTGCAGCTGCCCACTCAGTCTTCCTTATAGTGCAGTTGGGTATATGATTGTACATCAGACGGAGATGCAAAACTGTCTTCGGCCACTTTCCTTTGCAAAGGAGCTGTGCACCGGTTATTATAAAAACACCACTTGGAACTTCTTGCAACCAGTTAGGATCATGAGTGACAACAGATGTGCAAATATTCGAATATCTCTTCCACCTGACCGGCTCCAAAAATTGATCACTGGACTTATAGTTGTCTGAGCCTCGCCATCGGCATGTCCTGTCAGTCGTGGATGTCATCATATTGGAAGACTTGAGAGATGTGCACATGTAATGCTAATCGGTTGCATTTCTTTCCATCCAAGTACAAACGGAGGCCAACTACAGCTTTTAGATCACTTGAAACCTGCAATTGTATGAAATATTTGAACTTTTTTTATCGTAAAAACAGAGAACTAGACTGAAATATGGCTGTAAGGAATTTAAAACTTGACAGAACCTTGGAGTGATCAAGCAATTTAAACCTATATTTACACATTTAGCACATCTTCATAGCTACCCATACATGCCTACATATACATATCTACGTGAACTAGAAAGGTAAAACTCCATACAGATACGTATACAAACCAGACAAATTCACCAAGCTCCATGTTTAAAAGATCTTTCTTCATATTTTAACTTAGGGATACTGATGCGTTTTGTACCATATATGCAAGTCATACTTGCCAATGCCATACTCCTACCGGTTTCAACTGCTGGAGTAATATTAAACTTTTAGTATCGCTGACTGTAATTATATTCTGCATTGCTGACAGTAATGAGTTAGTGCATTTTCCCCCTTGACTTGAGGAATAATATATTTTGGATCCTACGAGGCTTATGTTTTAATGGAAATGGAAAGCAAAATAATGCTGGTGACAAGACCATGTGATGAGGAAAATAAATAAAACTGATAAGCAGGCTATTAGAAAATGCTTCAACTACCTGCGTACAGCTGACGTGTATCTTAGGGCCCAAGAAAGCGAACTGCAGGGAAGGGAAAGTAGATTTTTTCCTCTGATGCCTAAGAGGCAGCTCGCAGAACATAGGAGCCCATTGTCGTGGAACTTGAAACTCCAAGAAATAACATAAATCCTCTGGAGCAGGCTTGTCTTCACACAGATTCAGCAACTTAAAGAAAATTATTACCACATAAAGCTAGAAATATAAAAAAGTATATCAAAATTAAATTATCTGTAAAATGATAGTTAAAAGAGAAAATAACCTCAGTGACCAAAAATACCTTATAATATACGATTTTAACCAACTTTTTTTGGATTTGCCAAAATGACCAACAAAATCGCAATGCGATCGCTAATTCGCAACGCATCTCAGGTATCGCAAATCAGTTTCCAGATTCGCAACGCGAACTTCGACTATCACATTGCGATTTACATATTCGCATTGCGATAGTCCAAGTTCGCTGCGATAGTCTCCAAGTGCGTTGCGATAGTCTCCAAGTTCGTTGCGATAGTCTCCAAAATAAATGGAATTTAGAAAACTAAAATTGGTGTTTACAAAAGAACTCTTAAGTTTCAATGGCATGTTAATACTTTGTTTGCCGTCTCTTGTTTACTTTGTAATAACAAAGGGATTTTCCCATCTGAAAACATAACATCTCCAAAATCCTCCAAATACCCTCTAAGCTCTGACGGCGGAATTGTAGAGGAATAGTTCTGTCGAACACATAGCAAATCTTGACCTCCAATAGCCATGCCGACTATTATGTGTGTCCCATGTTTGTATGAACCTGCCTAATATAATTTGTAGATATGTACTGCACGAAACCAATAATGACCTTGAAGATGCCAAGCAACCAAAATTATTCAAGTTCTTCCAAGCATCTAAATTTTGCAAATTTGGATACAGTATTACATGACAGAAACCTTGATCGATAGGAAATTTACTCATTTGTATATTTATATGTGTAATATATATGGATTCTCCAACCACCTTAATTTACCATTGAAAAGTGATACGCTAACCAAAATTTTGGTGATAAACCTCTTAAGCATTCCTGTTTTAGTTTAAACTTCATATATGTTGTCATGATGAAGAAAGAACACTAATTATGATAAATCATGTAGGACAGCTAGGGGTGGTTGCATACTGTCTAATGGATAGGTTTCTGAGGACTCCTATCACAGATACAACCTTACAAGAGATGGGAAACTATTATTGAATGGAGCAAGTCAAGGATTTAAAAAGCTATTTTCGGGTTGTACTAGTACTATGAACATAACTCATCAACTGTTAATTAACATTAAGGTTGGAAGTTAATGGCTACTTTGATCTGAGGTTGGATAGAGTATAGTACACAGAATTCAAACTGAAAGGTTATGGTACATGATAGAATGAACCCATGTTAAATCTCATGATCAATCAAAAGAATTGTGCTACTGTGGGAGCAAATCAGCGAGGGAGTAACATTTTCTAGACCAAAAATATTTCACAAGAAAGCTGAAAAGAACTATAATATATCTCTTTCATCATCTCATATTTTAAATAGTTATTTATGCTATACTTTTTCAAGCATCCAGCCATATGGTCAACCTAATCAGTTCATAACCACGTTTAATTCTACAGAACTGGTAATATAATTCCTTTAATACAGACAGTTGGCAATATTCATTCTTCATATTTCTAAAAATCGTGCAAACAGCATCCACATAATCCATACGATTTCTTATTGATATATAATGATCAAAATGCCAAGAAATTGCAAAGACAGTTCATCGGAAAGATACCTAGACAATGCTGCCGGATCTCAGTGAGATGGAATGGATTTCTTAATGCTATCATGTAGGATAAGTGGAGATGCTGTAAGGTGTAAATGGTATAACGAAATAAAGTAACCATCAAAAGCAAGACTTTTGGTGTCTGCAGCATCATGAAGCCAGTCTCCACTCAAATCAAAAATAGTGTTAAGATAGCCTGAAGGAATTTTTCCTTGTATTGAAGACTTCTGATTAAGTAACTCAGACATCTGCATGAGAAGTAAGATTTGGGAGCAAAGATAAGGTACAACATTGATACAGTATCCAATAATTTTTTTAAAACCTCTATAAATTATCTTAGATAGTTTTCACATTAAATCTTGCCTTTAGTTCGTTTTCACTTTCTTCATCATTAAGATTCGGGTAGAAATCCCTTCGAGATATTTTGACAGTTGGAGTTTGAAGTATATTAGATATCTGACTAATATCAGCTTTTATTATGAACTAGTAGAGTTCCTAGATCATGGAGCATATGTCAGGAACTCATGAATATAGTTCTTTATTTCTGGAATCGAGGTTCACTTCAAGTTTAACTTTTCAATATCTATTCATTGATTATCATAAATTTCAAACTCTGAAGCTTTTCCACTGCAGCAGTCCATAAATGGTAAATAATCAAAGGACAACCATCTCCATGCTTATTTATAAGAATTTCAATCACTGAAATTTCTCTGTTTTATCTACCAGAATTCATTAATTTCAGCACATCAACACTCGTGAACTCCATTTACAGGAAGGTGAATTCACATAAACATTATCTCATCTCATTGCATTCAAATTCAAATGCACACATCATAATAAACGTCAAAGATAAAATTATTCTTCATTTATATAAACAGGATTAACTTGCTCCAACGAAAAATGCTCTTTAAAACGGAAAAGAAAAAAAAGTGGAAACATTTTATCTCAACTCTACTGAAATCCAAAATCAAGATTATGGCTAAAATTATGAACCAACACAAAAATAAGAATAAAACGTGTAAGAAAATTGTTCCTTATTATCAATCGTCACCACTAATAGAGAATTAACTAGAGATTAACTCTCGATTGAGCTCTAGACTTTCAAAAAGTTTAGTCAACCGAAAACATGCTCATATCCCCTAAGCTTGACGCTTATTTTAATAGCAGAATCTAGAGAAAAAAAGCACAGGGTAAAACCATTATAAGACATGAAAGGCAATCCTAGAATTCCACCCTTCAATATCACTATTTCTTTCCTATTGATGTCAAACAT